ACTACAGCTGGACAAATAAGGTGCTGAGTAGGGAATAAAAACGGCGATGCGGGCTATCATAGTTTTAAATAAATTGTGGTTAATTTGGATTAAAATAAACAAAATGTTTAAAATACAGTATCGAATGGTCCGCCTTTGATACAAGATTTCGCGAGTTAGAACCATTGCCGAGTCATACCAAAGACTTATAGAAATGGTTCTAACGGCTGCCTCCCAAGGCGCAAAGCATCACGAGGTTAGTGCTAGAACTGGTTTGCCTGGTGTTAGGATAGTGTAACTGGGTGGGACATCACGATACATGTACGTTTGTTCACTTTTGTTTTAGATACCTATATATTGTTGGTTCTCTAAAACATTCTAGAATAGCTGGCATAGTCGGTCGAATTAGTCTATGTGCCGGTACATACTAAATTTTCAGGATGTCCGTCAACAGCCATCCAGGTCCAAGATGTCCATCAACAATCATAGAGGTCAAGGATGTCCATCAACAGCCATCGAGGTCGAGTATATCCATAAACAGCCAATCACATCATACTCTAACTGTAATTAAATTGAGGTATACCCAATCAGTACCGGATTTAAGCATTAGCTAAACAAGCTACAAATTAGGGCCTCAGAGTCTAAACTAAGTCTGAAGCGGCCCCTCAAATTTATTTTATACCAAATATGGCCTCTATAGCTTCCCATGGCTTAGAGCCTCGCTTTGTCAATATCCGGTACTGTAACCAATGCTGCATCTTTCTGGAGAAAACGTGTCTTAAAATTGAATGCATTGCTCTCTTAAATACGGTTAGCGACAAACAACAATAATAAGAACAACCACAAAGAGAAACAAAGATAAAAAAGAAAAACAGACCAAAAACAAAATAAAACAACAAATATGTCATTTAAATAATTTACCTCTGCTATTGAAATTCTGCAAACTATCCGATATTCGTTAGTATAAAAGCTCTATCTATAATAAAATAGGACATGCTAATACAAATATTATTTTTAATGCCGTTAGTCTTGAAACTTTTATTATATTGCCAAATGACTTTCTATCACGTTTACTTCAACGAGTAACAGTTGTAATATCGTGCGAAAAGCATGATGCATATATGTTTCGTGTTGATTCAAAGAGGTTAACTACTCGAACTAGCAAAGTAACACGTTTACAACTTCAATATGAAGCGAATTTAAACTATTGAAAGAATCGTTAGAGATGAAAATGTAATCTTCATGGGTACTACTCAAGCCCTGTTCTTTTCTGGCGCGTGTATAGTGATTGGACTTTTATAAATGTGGCCATCAAATGGAATAAAAACACATCTCGTAGTTATATTACGAAAGTTATAGATTCGAGGGACAAGAACTTGAGTTGTAACAATTCATTGTTATGGGGATTAGAAAATGCTTTATCATTACATGAACTTCAGAATTCTTTGAATGAATTTATTTATAATTGTTAAATTGTTGTTGTGCTCAGATCCCTTTTGAAGTCTTAAATTCTTGGGGTCAATCTCTTTCTGGTTCTGAAGACATAACAGAGGCCTCTTAATTAATTGATTATCACGAGACCTCAAAATCCAAAATGTTGGAGAAAGGCTCAAAAGCATAGCAAGCCGCATTCCTAAAAGAACAAACAAACAAAAAACAAAACAAAACAAAAAGCTATTTAAAATGTTCACAAATATTGCGAGATACTGGAATGACAAACGACATGCTCTAGGACCTCACGTTTTGTAATAGTAGAGAATTCATTTGAAATAAGCGGTGCAAATGATAGGGAACGTATCCCTGGCATTATCGAAGTTTCATAATGCATGGCACATATTGTGCACAATGTGTGATTACAACACAGGTTGGTATCAGCTTGTTATAAAATTTCTTATAATCACTTTTCTGCAGTGAGGGTGCTACTCTCAGTATTGTAGAAATATCCGAAATTAGTAATTGCTGTATTGCAAATATATTGGGATATTTGACACATTGTTCTCTATATTTAACCTTTGCATGTAACGAAGTGTTTTAACTATGATAGCATACATTAGACAATATATATATATATATATATATATATATATATATATATATATATATATATATATATATATATATATATATATATATATATATATGTATAGAGTGAGAGAGAGAGACAGACAGACAGACAGACAGACAGACAGACAGACAGACAGACAGACAGACAGACAGACAGACAGAGACAGATTTGGAATTTTGAAGTAGCCTTAACATTTGGACAGTCTTATTGCTACGATGTGAGGCTGTTTATAGTGCTGTCTTGAACGTAGACCTGTAGACATATATCATTTTGTCCCACCCAGGCACATTATCCTGAGACCAGTCCGACCAGTTCTAACGCTAACTTCTTAATTCTTTGCACCTGGTGAGGCAGCTGTTAGTACCATTTTTATGTCTTTGGTATGATTCGGTTGGGGTCCGAATCCGAGACCTCCCGCTTCTAAGGCGGATGCTCTACCGAGTAGGCCACCGGACCTTTCAGAGGGTGGGGGTGGGGAGAGATGTGAGTGCTTAGAGATACAGAAAAAGAAAGGGAAATTCAATTGAAATTAAGAGGTTTAGAGAGGAAGAGAGCTAGTCCTCTCCAATACCAGAGCCATTTTTAGAAGTTTGGGGGCATATGCACAAACACTAAACTGCTATCACAATCGACATGTGACTTTTGTTTTTGGCCCCCCCCTCCTGCTGCGCGGGGTTAATGCACGTGCCTCGCGTGCTTATGCCTTAAAACGGCACTGTCCAATAACATTTACTAATATCAGTACATAAAGTTATTTCGTTGATAGTTTATTTCTATCAAACATACAAGGTGAAACAACGAGTTCTCAGTGTTAGCTTAAAATATATATTACACATGTGTATAGGTAGATTGTGGCATAATTCCACTGTCTTTCGTTAATATATTTTCACTCGTGTGATTTCTTTTAAATTTCAGTGACTACCATCGTTTCATATTATCACTGCAATCAAACCTAAACATTTTTTTACTTAGCAAAAATGTCAAACTAGTATCTTCCTGTGTCGATTGCTCATGTCAGCTGTTCTTGAACATCTGAACAAAAGAATAAATGTGTTGGTATTTTATGATAACAGTAACACCAAGTACATCCTTTGAGGGATTCCTAACGCTTTTTACACAACCATGACAGTGGCAGCTTCGTAGATTCTTCAGTTACCAGAGCGTTTTCCTACCCGATTCTAGGCAACATTACTTTTTATATGCGTTGTTTTTCCCTGCGCGACACATTACGTACCTCTCCGCCTCGTAGCTGTATTTACACTGTATTAACAGACCTTAAAAAAATAAATTCATGTAGTTGACAAAATCTACATGCAGTAACATCATAACGTTAACATTCACCTTCAAAAACTATATGTGTAACATATTTTAGTTCAAGGCTTAGTATAAATAACTTCTACATTCATGATCATTTGATCAAACCTATACTGCGTCCCACCCCCACTCCAAGTTAAATATCTACTGTTTATTTATTGTAGAATTGATATCCGAATTTCGTGTTTTCAGCACGAGAACATTTGGTCTAACTTGAGTTTTAACACCCCTCCCCGAACCTGCAAATTACTAAAATTTTCAGGGAGGGGGCTTTGATGCTCTCAGAGGGCTCCACCACTACCGATCCACCCACCCCCATCCCATTTCCATGAATGTTCGAGTATCCTGTTATGCCAGCCCTTTAACTTTGTGTGCCACTGGTTTTAAAGAATAAATATCCTTAGTCTATATTCTGTGCTTTCTTCTTTGTATATGTGAATGTATGTTAACAATGTCAAAGGTCATTCTAAAATCATTTTAAGTATAAAACTCGAGTGTTTAAGAACCAGCAATAGCGTGAAAAAGAGCGGTACTCCAATATACATTTTGTTGTTCTATTGAAAGACAGCTAGGCTGGACCGTTATTAGAATTGAATGCACATTTAAAATACTTTTGTCTCGCAGATCGCTTCAATGAACAACCAAACATATTATTCGTTTGAAGTTATATCATGTCATACTATAATATTGAAGGCGATAAAATCTTAATTGAAATTTCTTCTACCCACAGTGACAAACATATATTTATTGTAGAATACCATGCATCAACGCCACTACAACTACTACTACTACTGCTTTCTTGAGAATGCTTAATTAAGAAAACGCGTCCTCAACCATGATAGGATTTTTCGTTAAATTTTCGTCCAAGCCGCTTGTGTAACCTTTTCATGAGACTCTTCTTGAAGGGTATTGTGGTTAATGTGCACATTCGGGTATGTACGGCTACTATCGAGCCAAACCTGTGTTACACGGTGTCAAGAACTGTTGAACAAAGCATTTTCAATTATACCGAAGTTGAATATAGAACCGCATGAGAATGTATTTTTTTTTTGGCTACCATACTCACACAAATAAAAAAATACCCATTAGTTACGTAAACTCAAAATTTACGTAAAATAATTTGCTCAGTAGCTAGTAGCCTTTGCTCGAGTAGATTCTTATTAAACTGTGTGGAGAAAAGCGTTCGTCTGTAACTTTAATCCGTTGTGTTGCATAAGAGACGCTGCAGGGGTACGGTGTGTTTGAGAAGGTACGACATCTTAATGTAAGACAATATCATTGTGTCGTTTGAATAGTGTTGATTACACGAAGTTAATGTTCTGCTGATTTTTGACGCCTACCTGTGAGCCGATATCAAAACTTGTCGTTCAGCCAAATCTTTCTAATGCGAAAAGTTTATTATTTTGTGTAGTGGTAATGTTTAATGCAATTTTGTTATATTTCCTTTGTGAATATTTCCAAATTCATATACCATTGTATTCAGTTTATTTTTTGATTATTATACTTGTACTTCTTGGAAAGTTAATACGGTGATGGCGTTCAGTTGTACACTAGTTCAATTATATTTCATCTGCTAAGTTGTTACTTAATGAAATTGTAAAATACGATACAGCGATATAAGTTGATTATACCTACTTATCTTCAATATTCTGAATCTTTGAAACTATTCTTCAATCCCGTTACCCTTATTCAACCTGCACTATGTATTGTTCTTTGAAAGACAGTAACTTTCATCAACATTTGACGAATATTACAGTAGGGCTTGTTTGCGTTCTTAAAGCGCATTTAATTCTTAGTGATTCATTATATTATCAGTCATATGTGACTCCGGGTCATTAGGGAAAATTAGTATAAAGCATTCGTGACTGGTTCTCCTCCTGACGAACACAAGTCATACAAAATTAATCATTGCTCGCCGCAAACCGCTACAGTGGCCTAAGTGGTTAGAACGTCCCTATCGGATGCTGGAGGTCGAAAGTTTGAACCCCAGTAGAGTCATACTAAAGACTTATAACTATGGTGTAGTGTTAGCAGCTGCCTCATTTGGCGCTCCACATTAAGAGGTTAATGTTAGGAATGGTTTGCCTGGTGGTGTCAGGATAATATTCCTGGGTGAGACATCATACCACATGTCTGTGGCATGATTCCCCAGTGCTAGATATCACTATAAACTTCCACACTGCAGACATCGTAGCAATATGACTGAACAATTGTTAAAGCTATTTTAAAAAATCCGAATCACATACACACACACACACACACACACCATTAACCCTGAGTGACACATGATTTAATGTTTTGTACAATTAAGTATGACTTCAAGCCACTTTCCTGATATTCCTCTTGATACGAGTTTATTCCGTGGCAACATTATCAAATGTTGTCATATCACCAGTAAATATAAAACAGGAGTTTCTTCCAAGTTATAAGACTTTCAGTTAAACATGCAATAGAATCATATGTTCGAAAGACCAGTAATAAATTCAGTAATAACCAGTAATAAATTCAGTTCCCTCCAAAACACCGGATATTCATTTCTATGACATTAAATAAATCCACAAAAACAACGTAATTGTGTCATAGGTCTCTAATTGTTCTATTGTATTTATTGTCTTTGTTTCTTGCATATTATTTTGATAATGCCAACTGACAACACAATGGATATATCATCTGTTGTCAAGGACGATATTAGTGTTTCCCGTGTAAGTGCAGCATGGCGTATTCTTCGAAAATTCCATCGTGACCAAAAGCTTTATTGATTTTGATTACCTATATAACTCTTTTTTACTTATAATAGTTTTATTTTTTAATTATCTATGAATATATATATATATATATATATATATATATATATATATATATATATATATATATATATATATATATATATATATATATATATATATATATATATTGTTATATCCAGATGAATATTTTAGAAATTTGGAATTTGGATAAAGATCTGATTCAGAAAAACGTGATTACACGTTTTAAATTGGTTATGTTTAACATTCAATGGTACGTAGATGTTTTGTTTTATTGATTAAATTTTATTGATGTTTCCAAACTTTCTGTGTGTCACTTTGCTTGCATTTTCTTATTTTGTTCGAAGATCAAGTTTATATTGTGTAGTTTTTGCTAGTAAACTTTCTTAAACTTCCTTGCTTTGGACATACATGTAATTTGTTTACTGTTTGCATTATTCACGGTCTCCTGAACTTTCCTGGCCAAATGCTATTTTTTCTACCCTCTGTGTGGTTTGTTTACCAACCTTTGATAAATATGTTGATTTGTTTTCATCTGTATTTATATAATTTTTGAAAGTTCCATTTAAATAGTGACGAAATGCTGTATTTATACCTTGTACAATATTGTTATCATTGATACCAGATTTCATATTCTGCACTATAATGACATGATCATTTGCTCACGCAAATTATTGAATACAATTTGTTGTGGGTAAGTGTACCTAGATACTAAAGAAGTGCGCTGAGGCGAGGGCGGTGATATTGAACAGCAAGGTGGGGTAGGGAAGTTCCATAACGTGTTGTCTTCTATGTTACAAAAATGTTGCGAAGAATAACAAAATAAATCATTCATGTTCTGGCTGTATTGCGGATTCCCTGACTAACTGGCAGGTGTAGACATTATTTACTATACTCATATTTTCATCCTGACATCTCGGGCTTTATCTCGCATGTTTTTCTCTTTCTAACTCTCATGTTTTGAGATTTCTTTTGTTTTACCTAAATCAGCGTCCAATGTCCATTTAGTATAAGAAGCTCGCTACAAAACAAGCTGGATTAGACCAGAAAATATAAAGAGCAAAATAGTATGAATTCTTAGAGTATACATTCTTCAAAAAGCCTACTTACTACACGGCCGTGCAAATACAGCCATTATTCCATGACTGATGCGTTGTCTTGTTTAGTTATTACATGCTTCACTGATGCTGCTGTGTAATATTTATTATCACTTGTGAAGTGGTTAGAGCCTCTACTATTTACTCTGTCGTCTACGTCTCGATGACAAATTGCCAGTCAACTCTATTTTCGCTTTGAAGCATAGATGGTCTTACGGGTTAAGAGAGTTCTCCCACATAAAAAGAAACAAAGCTTTGTCAGGCGCCTGTATGCAATTTG